CACTGCTCTCTGATCTGCTGGTGAGGAATCTGGTGCTTTCTCTCTCTTAAACCAGAGAATCATACATATAAAGAATCTAAATTGATTTATATATACAAAAAGTAAGATTTTTCTCTTGTGATTTTTTTAACATTTAAGTGATTCTATCAGTTTTAATTAGTCTTTTGTTACCCAATTCCTCTGGGTTTCTTTCCTATATCACAAGCTGCTAACATTGCAAGGGTGTTTTCCAAGTTGTACAACATATCTGACAATGATTCCATATTAAGCATTTGCCATTGCAAAAGACAGGGTCACTGGAAGGTCTGACAATGAGATGTTTGATGTTTTTGTGTTAAAAGATTGTCTTCCTAGATACCTGGCCCTACAGATCAGATGAAATACAAATCAAACAGAACACATCTCTTCTTTGGGTAAAATACAAACTCTGAAATTCATACTTTTCTTCTCTCCTGGCTAAACTCATCCATTAGGTACAAAACATTTTCAAGTATAAAGAATGTAAATGGTTAAAAAGGGATTGGAAACAACCAAAAAGTTCATCTGAAGCCTCAATATGTTTCTTCATCACTGCACAGTTAACATTTGGGCAGGTTTCAGTAATCACTTCTGTTTGGGTCTGCATTAGATAATTTCTCATCGCAGAGGACAAATGAACAACTAAAGTATAGACAGAATTTTCTTCAAATATATTTCATATGATATTCAATTTTTAGGCTATTTTAGCGACTATGAAAGTTTATTGTATTGATGAGCCATATCATGAGAGATTTGGTTATAGTGACTCACAGAGCACTAGGATAAACCAGGATCTCTAATTCTATCACAGTAAAAGCTTTTTCTTGGAAATTGCTGATAATTGATTAGGATAAGGTGTAATTTTCCTATTCACAGAGATCTTAAGAACGTGTGTAATTGGTTTTTGTATACTGAAAGTGAGGATAAAGGGGGGAAAAGGCAACTTACATACTCTCCATCAAAAGCAGCATTTTTTGAAAAGAATCTTTACTGTTTTTTTTTCTACAGGTTGAAAGGGAGTAGAAATATGAGAGCCCTAGAAAATTTTCATAGCTCTCTGGCCTCCAGTGTGTATCTTTCAAAGTCTGGCTCACTTCACTTAACATTAAGTCCTCTATATTCATCCACTTTGTTTTTTTTTCTTTGTCTTGTTTTATTTCGTTTTGGTATTTAAGAGGTTTTTACCCTAGGTTGTATGTGCTCACCATAGAGAGAGAAAGAGACAGAAGAAATGTGAAAAGTTTCCCCTGCAGTACAGACATTCTGCAATCCATTCTCCTCTTGGATTCCTAAGCACATACACACATGTGCCTAGCATGATTTTTCAAGCCACAGGTTCTGAGATTCGTACCTGATTTGACCATGTGGGAGTCCAACTATGTGAATGCTACACCATCTGCTGACCCTTATTCATTCACTTTGAATCAATCAATAGAGTCTCATTGTATCTTATGACTGAATAATATTCTGTAATATATCTGACACATTTTTTCAATCCAATCACCAGTTTTTGGACTTTAAGTTTGATTCATGTTTTAGCAATTATGAATAATGCTGCAATAAACATTGATGAGCAAGTGTCTTTCATACTGTTTTCCTATCCTTTGAGTAAATATCAAGGAATGTGATAACTGAGTTATATTAAAGTTCTATTCGCAGGTTTTTCAGGTGCCTCCATATTGTTTACCACAGAGGTTGAAATAACTTACATTCCCACCAAAGGCCTTACCCACACTTGTTCATTCGTGTTCTCTCTCTCTCTCTCTCTCTCTCTCTCTTTCATTATTGATTCTAGCCATTCTAACTGGGGTTAAATGATGTCTTGTGTGTGGTTTTAATTTGCATTGCCCTTATGACAAGAGATTGAGCATTTTTTCATATGTGTTTTAGCCATTCATAAGTCTACCTTGGAGAGTTGTCTATTCAGTTTACTTGCTCATTTTTTAATTGGATTATTCATTTTTTATAGGTGAGCTACTCTAGTTTTCCATATATTCTGGTTAGCAATCTCTTGTTTGAGGAATTATTTGCAAATATTTTCTCTCATTCCAAGAATTGTCTTTTCTCTCAAATTGTTTCCTTTGCAGTGAAGAAGCTTTTTAGCTTGATATTGTCTATTTCTGGGATTATCGCCTGTGCTTTAGGGGACTTATTTTATTTAAGAAATCTTTGCATACTTCCATGTCTTCCAGAGAGTCCCCTAAGTTTTCAACAAGCTGCTTTATAGTTTAAGGCTTTATAATTATGTCTTTGATCCATTTTGAGTTGATTTATTATTAATGGTAGGAGGTAAGGGTTCATTTTCATTTTCTGCAGATGTATATGCAGTTCTTACAGCACCATGTCCTTAAAAAAAGACTCCTTCTCTACCGCATTATCTTGTATCTTTTGTTAAAATCAGTTGGCTGTATGATTTAGGGTTTATTTCTGAATTCTTCATTCTGTTTCATTGGTCTATGTGTCTCCTTTTGTGCCACTACTGAGCTGTTTCAGTTATCACCACATTATACTATATTTTGAAGTTGAATAGTGAGATGCCTCCTACTTTATTCTTTTTACATAATATTGCCTTAGTGATATGGGATATTTATGGTTCCAGAGAAATATTATGATTGCTTATTCTATTTATGTGAAGAATGTCACAGGCAATTTGATCAGAATGACATCAAATATGTAAATTAATTGGGTAGAATTGATGTTTTGATTATATTGATTTTTCCAATCCAAGAACAGAGAGTATATATTTTTTTGTATTATTCATTCAATGTTTTATAGTTTTCCTTGTAGAAGCCTTTCACCTTTTTGGTTAGGTTTATTTCAAGATATTTATTTTGTGACTAATACAAAGGGGATTGGTTTCTTCAATTCTGTCTCAGTTTGTTCATTGTTGGTGTATAAAAATTCTGTAGATTTTTGTATATTTATTTTGTATCCTGCTACTTTACTGAATTCATTTATAACGTCTAGGAGTTTTTTTTCATAGAGTCTTTTGTTTGTTTGTTTGTTTTAAATATGGAACTCTTCATGAATTTGCATGTCATCCTTGGAGCAGGGGCCATGCTAATCTTCTCTGTATCGTTCTAATTTTAGTATATGTGCTGCTGAAGCACTTCATAGATTCTTTAATATTTTCTATGTATATAATTATATAATCTGCAAATAAGGACAGTTTATGAATGCTTTAATTGTGTCCCAAAGGTTATGGAGAGTGGTATGTTCACCTACTTGAATGAATCCTTTGATTTCAGTCTTAACTGTAGTTTGAGAGTAATTCAGAAGTAGATTGTTTAATTTTCATGTTTTTGTGTCTTCTTGAGTGTTCTTCTGTGCTTGATTTCAAGTTTAATTTCATTATGGTCAGAGCAGATGCTGGGTATTGTTTCCATACTTTTAAATTTGTAGATGCTCATTCGTTTCTATTCTTTGTTGCTTCAACTATGTCTAGATGTTTATCTTCAATGTTATAGATTCTTTCTTCTGCCTGGTCTAATTTGCTGTTAATATTTTCAAGGGAGGATTTAAGTACCTGTATTCTTTATTTCCAGAAGTTCTGTTTGATTCTTTTTCAGGATGTCTACTTTTTATGGCATTCTTCCTTCAAATCATAGAAAAATTGTCTCATCTCCTGGAATCAGTTTTCTATTCTTTCTTGCATCTCATCGAGCTTAGTTATGACACATATTCTGAACCATTTTTTCTGACATTTCTGTCATCTCATGCATTTTATCTATTATTGGTGTAACTTTTGGGGGGAAGAAGTATTTCCTTTTTTTCTGTATTTCTTAAGCCCCTGCTGTAATTTTTAGTCATCTGGTTATATACTCACCTCTGATACCTCTTTGGAGTGTGGTTATGTATCTGTGTTATCATGTGCTTCCCTAGGGTATGAATTAGCTCTTTTCCAGTTTCCCTCTTCTACTGTGTGGCAATGTGGTATCCACAGTGGGAATTTTGGTTTCAGATTTACAGAGGGGAGTTTCTCTCTTTTTCTGCTGGGGTGATAATTCCCCCAAAGTCTCATTCTATTCAGTTGTTTGACTTCAATTTACCTAAACCTCTTGGGTCCTTATGTGGCTAGGGGCTGAACTGAGAAGCTAGAATGTAAGTTGTTAGCTGATGTTTACCACCTGGTTAGGTGGAGGGTAGAAGGGCATCAGCACAAAAAAAGTGTCCCCTCCTAGCTTCTACCTCTGCCACTACAGGAACCAAGGTGGTGGTCTTGAAGGATGAGACTGTCTTTCTTCCCACATTCTAAGCAGGGCAGGAGGCTTTTGTGATTTTTTTTTTTTTAAGTTTTGCCATAGAGTATATATGTTCACTGGAGAGAGAAAGGAAGAGAGAAAAAAGGAAAGTGAAAATTTACTCTTAAAGACAGATGGCCATGCCACAGTCCTTTCTTCTCCATTCTCCTCTCTGGATTTTGGGCATGTGTGCACTTTCACCCTGTGTTGTTTTTGGACTGTCAGGTTCAGTACTCAAATGGTACATTTGGCCATGTGGGATCCACTTGCCTTAGCTATAGTACCACCAGTTGGCCTCCAGCATTCAGAAATTTTGTTTTTGAGAAATTTTTGCTATAGGTTATGTGCACTCACCAGAGAACCCCGCCCCCCTTCCGAGGGGGTTGGCTATGCCACAATCTCTTCTTCTCCACTCTCTTCTCTGGATGTTGGGCACACATGCACGTGTGCTCAGTGTGAGTTTAAGCTGCCAAGTCCAGGACTCAAACCATGGTCCACTACATGAGAATCCAGCAACATAACCATCACACCAGCTGCTGGTCTCCAGCATTCAGAATTTTTAACAAGATCCATTTAGGAACAATATTGAGCTTTAAATACAACACTTATAGCACATCAAGGACAGAGACACCAAAGTTGCGGCTTTGAAGACTTCTGCTTTGACCATTATTTGTTTTTAAAAATGTCTTTTTGCTCTCTTGATCTTGTTATTTACTCTAGCTTCTCTTTCTTCCCCTCCAGGTCATGGATTTGGCTCATCGAAGATGTCCCGTGCACAGACATTTCCCAGCTATGCCCCGGGACAGAGTGAGGAGGCTCAGCAGCCATTGTCACGGTCCAGTAGCTATGGGTTCAGCTACAGCTCCAGCCTCATTCAGTGACACACAGAGAGCCAGTCTGATCAGAGACACAATCGTCCTGGACCCGCCCATGGGGTCAATTGCACCCCTGCCTCCTGGAAGACAATTGCAGTACAAATTGAAAAAGGTCGGGTCTAGCCCCAGTCCCATCGGAAGGTTATAAACTGGAGTTCTGCTTCTTTGATTCAGTGGCTAAGTCCTTTATTTATTGAATTTCTTTGGGGGAATCTATGTTTTACCAAAATAGAATCCAAATAGTCTGAACAGTTATTTAGAAAAATATAATTATTTGGGTTTAACAGTGTCAGAAGCCATGGTTCCAGGAGAAGTTGCCACACTGGGCCGTACAATGTGGTGGACACCAACCCGCCCTCACGCTCAGTCCTCCTCTCTGAGCGTAGGGTCTATCCTTGAACACAATGGTGACCCACCACAACTCTGTTGCTCTGAGTATTTTGACAGGGACAAAGTTCTACAATGACATCATACCTCTCCATAGACATAAGCCCAGTGACAATTAAGAGAACATGAGATTTAGATCACACTATTATGCAGGGCCCTGTAGCTCTCCTACGTGTGTGCGTGTGTGTGCGTGTGTGTGCGTAGACAAGTATAGATACGGATATCGTTATATCCATCTATATATAACCAGTATATATCAAATGTGTGCAGAGAGTGACAGGATATGCTCACTTAAATTGTTGAAAACTGTAATTTGGTGCATTGAAATTAAGATTGTTATGTTAAGTAGTATTTTTTAAGTAGTGTTGTTTAAGGAAAAAAAAAAAAGAGGCTTCTTATTAGCAAACATATTTATGTAGTCCAGTCTCCTCCCATGACAAGTACAAATGAACACACGAAGGGGAACACTTTGGAAGCTAAAACACCAGTTGGCTGTCCTATGTCACATTGTCATGCTGTCTTTCTAGTTAGTGTCCCTGAATTGTTGTCAATGCTTCTCCTTTTGGCCATTCATTGAGGTATGTGAGGAAGAGTTGCTGTGATCACTGATCACCTTCCATTGAACCATGAGGGTAAAAAAGAGAAAGAGAGACTCTAAATGAAAAACAATTTAAGAAAAAAGAAAAAAAAAAAAAAACCTCAGCCAGTTTTCAGTCTCCATGAGAATAAATGGATACAGGTTTGTAGATATAATACTTAACTTTTCATAGATACCATTTTCAGAGAGCCATCAGGGCTCATCATTTACCCCATAACCGAAATTTGCTGGGCATTATTTTTCTCTTACCGAACATGGAATTGAAAAACAATTTAAGAAAAAAGAAAAAAAAAAAAAAACCTCAGCCAGTTTTCAGTCTCCATGAGAATAAATGGATACAGGTTTGTAGATATAATACTTAACTTTTCATAGATACCATTTTCAGAGAGCCATCAGGGCTCATCATTTACCCCATAACCGAAATTTGCTGGGCATTATTTTTCTCTTACCGAACATGGAATTTCTGGGAATCCAATAATTTTTAAAGGGAAGTGATTTCCATGTGAACTGAAGAAGTTTGCTAATTTGGATAAACATAGATGTATATGTTTGCCCTTAATTTGGGGGTCTAGTCAAATAAAAATAAAAATTATTCTGCGTGAATTATCTCATGCTATGTGCTCTCAAACATGCCAGGGTGACTTTATAGAAATGTGAGCCCAGGTCATGCAGGATAAAAACTTGATTTTTTGTTTAATAGCAAACTTTTTTAATTATTGAAGTTAGTCTGTTGGAAGGGTACCTTCTTTGCTGATCTCTGGTAAGATTGTTTTTCATCTCTATCCATAGCATGAGTGCAGATTGACAATTAATCTCAGTGAATTACTACTGAATAAAAATGGTTCCAAGTCCCCCGTTGATAAATGTGCACTTTATAGCAACTACCTAGACTCCCCAAATCACACAGATAGGTATGAAAACCCCATCAAGATGCTAATCATAAGAGTTAATGTGGCTGTGAAAAATAATTATCCTAAGCTTTCAGGGATAAAAAGAAATTACCCAAACCCTCTGCACTGTGAATTTTGCTGACACGGCAGAGGAGCAGATGACTGGTTCCTTATGAGATACAGCCTTCCCTGAAGTCCTAGCTTTCAGGATTAAGTACCTCTGAATTTCTTTAGCACATGGCATTTGCTTTTGAAATGCCCTTAGTCTAATGCAGCAGAGCAACTCCCAGCTGAGACCATTTGAGCACAGTTCCTGGTGGGGCCTTTCAGAGCAGCCTCACTGGCTCCACAGTCGAGCTGTTGCTTAGACACTACAAGTTTCTACACGGGACTTAAGGGGAAAGACCCTTGGGGGTCCTGGTTCCCGTCTCAGCTTTAATCATGTGCCAGAAGCACAGACAGCGAGTCCAGAGGGGATTCTGCTAATTAGGTGAGTCTGCTCTTGGGTTTATTTGGTGGGAGATAAAGACTTGCATGAAGTGGCTTTGAGAACACCATTCAGTTCTGATCATGATCTGTGAACATAACTGAGGAGGGACCAAAGATCATGCATAAATTTGTGCGAGATTATTCTGAAAATGATCTCACAAAAAGAGTGGGTGAGAGAGAAATTTACTTCCCAAGTCTGTAGACCAATCTCATCACAATGAGAACACTGCTGTCAAATTTCTCATGGTATATTTTTGGAGCTTTATTCTAGCATACTCCTCCAAGGATACTTACAATTGCAGCTAAATCAAAATTGCTAAATGAATAGATAGGAGGATTTATATTAACCTCATATACTTGACACTAGGCAGTGTGCATTGTAATAAAAATGACAAGCAGATAAATCTACAAAAACCAAAGATGGAAAGTTACTGTATCAGTCTCCTGGAACTTCATAAAACCAATTCCACTGGAGCAGCTAGAACAGTCCTGGATATGTGTTCAGCTCACTAGAGTGTGTAGGTTTTTCACTGAAGAAGCCTCTACACTTTGCAAGTCATGTTCCTCCCTTTGGAGGTTGTATTATATCTTTAACATACATGTGACTTTTTCATCATGAGGGAGGGATTGCTCTGAACCAAAGACATCTTTTGGCTTCTTCTGAAAATGACTCAGTTGAGGTTCCACCCAGAGTTGTACAGATGAATGAAGATGGTCTATACTTTCATATCAGGTTGGAAGAGACCAATACTGTAGGAACCCAACATGAAGTAATGAAGGCTCTTCTGCCAGCGGAAAAAGCCAGGAACATATACACATTTCAAGGAAAGATTACCTGAAGGCATTTATTCTTTATGTCCCCAATTTTTTCTTCTGACAACATTAATTAATGTATATGTGATGAACACATGACACCATATTTAAAATGCACAGAAGTCCAAAGTAATCTTGATCCAATAGTTTACTATTCTGGTGGTGAGGGTGGGGAGAAGACACACCTTTCACTTACCTATTGAATATCAACACTCAGAACTAATTTACTTATGCAGGTTGCAAATAGTTAGAAATCAATAGGTTCTGGCCACTGCCACAATTTGAATATAATAAAACAAGAAATATATATTCACTTCTATATTAAGGAAGATGCTGTTTGATAGAGCATGTGAAATAAAGTGAAACATTTATTCAAAGTAAACCTCACCTTTTCACCAAATAGTAATTAGAGTGTATTTCCTAGAATCTTGTACAAATCTCTATATATGTTGGACAATTAAGTTCAAAAATCATTCATCACCTATAAAACAGCCAACCACTTAAGCCTTCTATATAGGTACAGTGGACTGATAAGTAACTACTGTTAAATAACCACTGTTAGTGGTAGTTTCTATTGCATGTTGGTATCTTTATAGTAGATATAAAAAAAATCTTAAAAATTGATGTCACCTTTCATTCTTTGGCCAATAGCTCAGAAAACTTTGTAAAATAGCATGAGTGCAGTACTCCCTAGATTATGTGAGCCATTTACTAAAATCAACAATTAGTGCCACAGTAAAAATAAGCTAGGGTATTCTATTCTTCTTTAAAAGTGTCATCCAGTTTTGACTATTAAACAGCACACTAAATGGGCAATAGGCATTCAGTGGACTGAGCTTCAAGTCTTTAACACTTGGTATTTTTTTTATTATTATTATACTAAAGACTCCTGAGTGAAAATTACAGATTTTTCTCTACTTTCATTAATTTATCTGTCAGTATCTTACAGTTTCAAATTACTTTATCAATCATCAAGTATACTGTGCAATATCCCTATGATAGCCTTCTCAAAAGAGGTGAAATTTGCCACTGGGCATGTACACATAGTTGTAAAAATATGATATGCCATACATGTTCATTTCTAGCCTATGAAATTTAAGGAGTACAATTTGCCACAGCGAAGGTAGAGAGGGAGGGTGGCCACTAATCAGGAAAGCCTCAATTTAGATGAAGTGGTGGAGGTTCAATGATGGTACTTGGACCCTACTTTCTTAACACTCCAACCATAGCTCAGACTTGGACTGCTTTTCTCGTGCGCCCTCCTGCTGAGTGGGCACAGAACTAAGGAGGACATAAGCTAGGTCATGTCTTGACCATACCACAGGATGGACATGACCCTCAGGACATGCTTCTTCCGGTTTAGTAAGAAAAATATTTTAACACCAAGAATGTATAACAGAATCCCAACAGTAAAATATATCTTCCATAACATGAGAATCATTTTTGTATGGTCAAGCTCGTTTGCACTTCATAAAGATACATTCTCATTTAGATTAACTGGGGGTTAAATATTTGAGCCAAGACCAATATCTCATGCATGTATTTTCTACACATATATTTGAAAGATTACCCACTTTTTTCTCTGTGGAGCTGCCACAAATCTTTACTTTCTTACTCGAGAATGTGAATTTTCTATTATAATTATTTCAAAAGAGGAGGCATTAGACAGTTTATAGACTCCTGTGAAAGTAGGATTATGAGATGCTGAGCACATTTCCTAGATGTGTGGAATGTTAGCTAGCTCTGGGAGTAATCCTCAAGTTCGTGTAGAATAAAGGTCTCCCTTCATCTTTCTCTCAAGAGAAAACTGAACCCCGTGGATGTTGTAACTTTTTTAAAAGGCAAAGAAATACCCAGCGATAGTTTCACCTAGGTCCATCTCCAAAAATCCAGAAATGGTTCCTTGGCTCCTTTAGTGAGACATGCCACATGGCCTCAAAAGAAACTCTTGTATATCGAAGTGTTTTCTCATATTTTTCAGATGTTCTTACTCTGCCTGGACTCATTACCAGCTAGATCAATAGAGAGGTTTTAGGAGGCAAGTAATTAGACTTGGCATAGGTCACGACCGATTGGTATTTATGACTTATATTGTCATTTAGTCACTTGTATGAAATCCCAACTTAGTTTTCCTAAAGTGATACTTAAACTAAAAGAAAAAAAAATTACAAGGGTTTGTGGTTTTATAGTCCTACTAATGAATAATGTAACTGCGATTATTTGGGGGGTCTTTATCATGCCATAGCACTTTATGATGACATTATTTATGGCATTGTCACAATTTTACTAGATAATTGATAACATGAGGGCTATATTTTTTCATATGAACTTCAAAAAGCTTCCATTGTCAACAGAAATTTGGAGAATGACCTTTCTTTTCACATTAAAATACTTCACACATCAAGTTTTCCCTTATAAACTTCATTAGGCAATGATTTTAAATTAACTGAAGTTTAGATAAGTAAGAAATAAGTTTAAATTACTCAGTAATATAAAAACCACCTTTTACTTGTAAATTTCAGACACATTTCCCTTATTTGAAGATTTTGACAATTTGTAAATATTTGAAGGAGAGGAAAACTACATTTGTAATAAAAATATTTCTTAGTCTATACTTCTGCTTAACCAATATGTTTTTATTTTAACTTATCTTCTATGCCTGCTTCCCTAGTCTGTATTCCACATCCTAGTTGTCAGAAGAATGAGTGGATATAAAATTTTTAATCATTATTTTGAGCTAAGTTTAGCAGTTGATACAATCAACTTCTGCAATCTGTTTCCTGCTTTTTGGATGATTTTAGACTTACAGCAAATCACTGGCCCTTTCTGTTCACAGAATTGTGCATCAAATTGAGCAAGGGGTATACTCTCACCCTGCAGTTGGGCTAATATTGGGAATTTGTTGCTATTTTGATTCACTCAAGAAATCCATAACCCCAAAGAAGTTACTTACTTAGAGGTATCAAAATTTAAAAACCCCAGTTTAATGACTGAGATGATCCTTTGGGATTAAAAGAAAAAAGTCACTACAAGATTTCTCACAAAGAAAGCATCTT